AAAAAAAAAAAGTGTGGGAGGGTGACAAAGGCAGAGCATGAGCAAGGGCCCAACAACCTCCTACCTCAGAGCACGGGAAGGGGGTCCCCTGCGGCTGCCCCTTGGCACACAGACGCTGACAGGACAAACTCTGCCAGCCCAGAGGTATGTAAGAGTCAAAGTTACATAAAATGAGGCAGCTGAAATTACATTAGAAGGAAAAATCAGAAGCAAAATAGGCACAATAAAAAGATAGGAAAATCAGAAGCAAAGAATACAGAAGAAATTTATTGAAAGCACAAGTACAGACTGGGCAATAACTGCTTTCTACAATCTGAACAGTAAATAATGGAGCTACAGAAAGGTACAAAGGTTGTTATAAAATAGTTTTAATTTCTTTTCTTTTTGCATTACAAACATACTTTGAAAGAGGCAATGGAATTCTGATGTTGTGTATGCTTACCCTCCCCACCCCACCTTCCACAATACTGAACCTGTAATAGCTGTTATCAAAATATACAATACATCTGTTCACCATAAAAAACTGGGTTTTGCTGCCCCCTCATGTCTTACAACAGGTATAAAAAAATTATAAATATGTACACCCTTTTGTTACTCACATTCTTTACATGCAAACACAGGGATCCAAAGGAAAAAAACCCCAACTGCCTGGGATCTGGGGTTACCTCCATTAATTCGCTCGTGTTTTGCAGAGCAGAACCAGCCCGGGGCCACCAGGTCAGTGGCCATGGCCACCAGGCAGGTCTCACTCTGTGAGCCCCTGCCCAGCATCCCAGCCTGAACCCGAACACCCTCAAGGTCAAGGGCAGGCACTCGCTGGGGGGCACCAGCTGTGCCCCCACCCAGGAGGAGCAGGTTTGTCACTGGGGGAGGGAGAGGAGCCAACTACCTCTAGTTGACAACTACCACAACACCTGAACTCGCCCTCCTGGCCACGGGTCAGGGCTGAGCCCCCAGCAAGGCAGGTCAGGGGCTCCAAGCAGGAGGTAACACCCAGGCTGGGCTCCCAGAGGCTGGTTCCACGCCCCCGGGCACAGAGCAGAGCCCAAGGCAGACGCAGGTCCCCACCTCCTGCCAGCAACCCAAGCTGGACCCTCACTCAGACCTCACGCGCTTCTCCAGCAGAATTCACACCCTCGAGAGTTCAGGGAGGAACTAAGAAAAGTTAAGACTTTCCAAACACTCAGTGCTAGGCAAGTCGAGAGCTCCCACACTAAGCAAGGAAATCGTAACTTGCAACACTAAGACAATTAAAAAACAAACTTTGGTCCACAATTTGCAGAAAAACCCTGAAAAAAAGTACAAGATTCTTGTTATTTTGCATCCGAACAGGTTGCAGGTTAGAGGGAAATGTAAGGCAACATCAGATTACAAATAGAAGGCAGAATGGCCCAGGAAAGCATTGTAAGCCAGAAAAAAAAAAAAAAAAGGTTGTATCATGGGGAAAAACCAATCCGCTGCGTTCTACATTATTTAATAAATTCCCTTCCTGTAACTTAGAAGATCTGGGCTTATAGGTTAAAAAGGTGAGAACTTTAGCCTGGGTCCTTTTACTTCGATTCACAAGCTATTTGTGCTCGTTTCTTCAAACACTTTGCTTCATGTGTTTTACCAATTTTGTTACATTACTCATCCTCAGTCATGACCTCAGCCTGGTAACTAAATTCCTGCCCTACAGTTTCAATTACCAAAAAAAAAAAAAGAAAGTACAGTATACAAGGGTAATACCACAAAGGAGTAAATTTAGATTACGTTTATACCATCTTATCATTCTATAAAAAGGTACTTAAACTATTTCTTTTGCATATAAAGAGATTAGAATATTTGGTCAACTGGAAATATTGCTAGGCACAGATGACAGCAACGGCATCAAAAAGTATAATACAAGAATTAAATCAAAAAGCTCAAATGCTGAAGACATGCTATAAGAATGATGGCAGAGCTACATTGGTCTTGTTAATCTCAAATTAGGGGCACGAAGGTGACTCACATGAACACCTTTCTAAACGTGGGATATCCGATAATTCTTCAAATCCTAGCCAAGTATTTAGAGATATATATATATACACACACAATTTCGACAAACTTAATGATTCGTCTTCACAAGTGTCCAACAGTGGTTAATTTTGTCTCTTGATCAATGCTCTTGCGAAGGGCAGAGCCTGTGACTTGCTACGGACAAGGGAATGTGATTTGGTCTCGGGAACGTTTCCCCACCCAGACCTCTCTGCTCGTTCTGAACGTTACGGACAAAGGATCTGAAGTAACTCCTGCTGGACAGTTTGCAGATGGCAAGAAGCCACAAGCACACCGGGAAGTGGCATGAAGACACACAGTACTGTGCAGATTGCGACATTTCACAGACAGTGGGAACAACTGCCTGAAGAGTCAAAGCCCAATATTTTCTTTATCCACTTTGCCAGCTTCACTTGTCCTTGGCTCCCAGGCAATCCAGCAAGCCGGAGCTCGCTCCTCCCTCAACTCCCCCAATCCACTCCCTGCAGCTCCGATGTTTCCCCCAAAGACATAAAGTTAAGGCACAGGACAGCAGATGCACAGTTAAGGGAGGATCAATGCGACTTATTTTTGTGCTGGGTGAGCTGGGAGCTCCTGTACAACATGCATTTTGCAAAATCCTGACTCAAAGGCGCTAAAGTGAATTTACACAGTGGTTTTAGGTCTTTCAAGGCATGGATGGGTAAAGAAAATAAAAAAGGCATCAGTGTGAAACCTGATAAAACTTGTTAGGATCTGCTTTTTTGGGGGGAGGAGCAGGAAGGGAGGGGAATTTCCCAGAGCAGGTTCCAAAGTGTAAACTTTAACTTGTGATTTTTATTTGAACAGTCAAGATTGTTACCCATCACCGCAAGGTTAGCAATATGAATTAGATTTTAATTTTTTTCTAAAAACCGGTAAACTGATTTCTCTTTAAAAAAATAAAATCTCTGGTCTTTTAAGGTCACTTCAGCTGCATTTTTAAAGTGGCTTTTTTTCTGGAATGATGGAAGTTGAAACCCTAGTGTTCAGCCTTTTAAAGCCAAGGCTGAACACAAGAGGTTTTTAAGTCAAGTCCATTTTGTCTCATGCCTTCCAAAGCTTTAAATGGTGGACTTCGAGAAGGACACACGCAGGTGACGATTCTCACCCAGGTCATGATTATGGAGGTTAATGAGTGATTGAATGGCTTCTTCCACAGAGCCCATCTGGATCAGAGCCATTTTACGGTCCTTCCTGGTAAGACAGAAGTTGCAGTTGCAGTCAGCACCACTGCTTGCAGAGTTCCCCCAGCTCTGCCCAAGTTTTCTTATCCAGCACTCAACAAGGCAGCAGAAAACCAACTACCCGGGTGACTGCAACGTACTTTCTCCTCCTGAGGAAGAGTACATCTACACCATAAATACACACAGCTGATCCACACTCAGCTACCTCAGGTTTCTTCAACTCATGCTCACCCCATGCTCAATGCAGGATTACTCTGGAATTCCTCATTCCAGAGTCAAATACTGTACTAGTGATGATTCTGCTCACCTTTCACTGAGCCCAATCTGGAACTCCATCAGAACTAAGTGCTTCTGCCCTTCTCATATGGAAAAGCCCAGTGTAAGGACAGGACATAAGAGAAAACACTTACTGGAAGAATTTGAATCCTTTGACCATCCCGCCATTGGTTGAAAACAACATCTTAAGGTCTTCTTCATTTACTGAAGGTCTGAAACAAACAGTTTTTCAGGTCAAAGGTACATTGACAGACTAAATTGATCTCTAAAATCCAATCCTCAGTCTTTTCTAAATATTCTACCAGTAGCTTCCCAGACAGGAAAGGCCAAGGACAGGAAGATGGCAAAGCTTCCTCCTGCTAGCAGCAAAGCACTGACAGCATCTACCTTCACACCACATCTGCAGACACTGTCTGCTCAGCCACACAGGAACGAACACACACACACCACCACCCCCACCCCCCCCGCAGATACTTACGGAATATTGGACAGATGAAGAGTGGCAGAAGGGGGAAAGATGTTTTGGAAATTTTTAGAGCCTGGTTTCTTGAAGCGATGTAGAGGAGAATTCCCGTAGTCCTTAGTCAGCCCCCGGTCCTCCTGCTCCTCACGGGGAAGCTGCACTGTCTGGTGCTTGGACAACGTGATACGGATGGGCTTCCCGTGAAGCTTCTGACCATTCAAATGGCTCATGCCTGCCAGGGTTGGAAACAGCGCTGACTGCTGTGCCACTTCACACCCCGTTCAGACATTTAAACCAAAGCTACTGTTTTCCCTCAGTCCTCCCCTGCACAGACACCACCCCCCAGGACAGCAGAAACCATTCCTCCGCCTCAGCGGAGCATTTCCTCCATTCTCCCTCCAGGTTCTCTCACAAAACAAGCCGTTCCTTCTCCAGGGCTGCCCCCAAACCCATGCTACACAGAGGCAAACAATTAAGCGCACAGACACATTCAGGCTTTGGAAGAGAAGGTACCAATATTAAAGCTTTAGTTACCCATTAGCTCTCAATGCTACCAGTCTGATACTTTTGAGCTTGCTTACCAAGCTGGGCCTGGTTTCCATCAGCCATCTGAACTAGGGCATTCTCTCTCTTATTAAATAAAATCTTCACCCTCTGCACATCACCATAGACTCCTTCAAAAAGTGAGGAAACAAGAACAGTCTTAGGTAGGGGAAAATAAATGAAGTCTCATCCAACTTAACACTAGCTAATCAATCCAACAGCAAAAACATTCATTCACAACCAGAACTGATCTCATTCCAACCATGGTTACTTATTCTGCTCTAATTAAGGAAAATTCTTATATAGCAGAATAATAATGGAACAATACATTAAAGAAAAAGACACTGGGTTTCAGCAAAAAGCAAAAAAATCTTACTGCCAGAAGACTGGACAATTTAGCATGCTATCACAATTTAAAACTCTTATAAAAGACATGCAAAGCAATAAACCATGCATAACTGAACATAAAATAAAGGCAAACTAAATTAAATAGCAAACTAAGTAAACAATGTAAAAATGAAATTATGCATTCAAAAAAATGGCAAACTGCAAACTGTACATTTTTGAAGTATCAAAAAAGTAATCTCAAATAAATGAAAAACAAGGTAATAAAAAGTGTGAATAATAACATACCGAAAAGAATAAAGAGGCATTGGGGTGTAACTCTCTTTAGAGAACAGCAGAGCAAGGCAGCGGAGGGACAGGGAAGAGGTAAGGAATCGAAGGGGAGAGCGAGGTTGCACAAATCGTCCACAACGAGGAAGGGCAGAGTCCCCGCAGGAAATGGCGAAATTGGTTGATGGATGATGAAGTTTTCAAGATGGTTAATATTGAAGGGCAGGTTGGTTTCCGAAGAGCAGGGTTTTTTTGGTTTGGGTTTTTTTTTTTGGAAGGGGAATGTTTTTATTTTTTTTGTTTCAAGCAACAACAGGAAGCAGAAGTACCGTGCAGTCAGTTGGCAAAGAAATTCCGGATCAGGGGAAGAAAAAAAATTCAGGGATGGGGAGAAAAGAAAAAAGTAGCAAAAAACACAGGTCAGTAAATACATAAGGAAATATGTAGTGTTCCATCAGTCAGATTTATAGAATTCTACATACAATAACTTGTTTACAGAAACAGTTAATAGGTTTTACCTAGTGGAACACAATGATAAAGAAAAGGCATTTTT